TTTGTTTCAACACCCACTTCCCTCTGTGATGGCCTGGGAATCCGATTCAGAGGCTGAACCAGAGGAATCCCAGCCTGGACAGGAGTCCCCGCCTCCAGGGCCGGCTGAGCCGGGGCAGGGCCTTGAATCTGAAGCGCCTGCACCTGTGCCGGATCCTCAGGAGCAGACACCAGATGAATCCACTCTGGCTCCGGAGGTGATTGAGGACCCATTGCCTACAGGTGCGCCTCTCCCAGCCCTGTCAGGGGAAGGTGAGCCTCCCCCTGGGTCCAGTAACCCTCCAGCCTCTCCTGAGCTGCAGAGGCTCAGGGCATTGAGGCGGACAGAACTGGGTTGTCTCAGGAGGAGTGCTTGCCTTAAGGCCAGGAGAGGCGAGTCACCTGTGGGCCGGGACCGCCCCTGGCCTCAGAGAAGATAAAGGCCAGTCAGCCCAGTCCCAGGTTGCAGGAGCAACGTCGTTGGAAACCTGTTTCTGCCAGCACCCAGACCTGTTCTTCCGGAGTTCCTGACCACGCCTGGCTTCCTGCTTTGGACCCCGCTTCACCCTTGGTGGACAGTCTCCAGACCCTCGAGCCAGGACCGGACTCTGACCATGCCTCTCGGTAACCCCCCCCCCGGGTCCAGCACACCCTCTTTCAAAAAAAAAAAAAAAAAAAAGCATGATCTGCTTTTCGCTCCTGGGCAATTCGGCTCCAGGGACCACACATTCGTTCCATAAGACGCATTTCCCCTTACTGTTTAGGAAGAAAAAAAAGTGCGTCTTATGGAGCGAAAAATATGGTATATAAGTGGTCACAAGTTCAGAGACATCCACTAATCTGTCCATTTTTGCCTCTGGCCCAACTACCACTTTCGTACCCCCCCAACTCCCCCCTACAACGGAATGCAACCTTTGAGCTGAAATAGAACCCCCACCCCACCCCTGGAATAAGGGAAATATGTTTTATTTTCACTTGTCACAGTCCTATTAGATTTTTTTTTTAGAAGAAAACCAAGCTCTCTTCACAATCCCTTCATATTGGGAAGACTGTGTTATGTGGTCCTTCTGTAAGAAACCAGCACCTAGTGGAGATACAAGCTTAACTGGCATAGCAACCGGGGAATCATAGGTAGTCTGATATTGATCGATAATTAGCCAGGTTTAATCAGGCAGCTGCTGCTGTCGGATGGGGGTGGCAAGAGCCGCCTGGAATTTGTTCCCTCTCAGCCGTTCAGCGGCTGGTCCGAAGGGAACGGTCTTTCGCTTACCTTTTAATGAACAGTGGAAAGCTCGAGGGCAAGGGCTGAAGCACCCGTCTCCTCCAGAAAAAAAGAGACAGAAAAGGATGATATTGAAAAGCTGTTCATTTGCCACAGTGATCGGCAACTGGCAACCTCTGGGCCAGACTTGGCCCCTGAGAGAGGCTGGCTGGCCTGTCAGGGTTTAAGAGATAAGGTTGCGGAGGACAAAGCAAAGGTTGCTATGACGGGATTAAGACTTGGGTTTCGTTAAACTGCAAAGCAGCTCAGGACTGCAGCCACCTGTTGATGATTGGACATGACAACTATTATTATTATTGCTGTTATTGTTATTATTATTACCCCCACCCATCTGGCTGGGTTGCCCCAACCACTCTGGGCAGCTTCCAACACACATAAAAACGTAAGGGAAAAAAAATCTTCCGGATGTCAGATGTCTTCTAAAAGTCAGATAGTTGTTTATTTCCTTGACATCTGATGGGAGGGTGTTCCACAGGGCGGGTGCCACTACCGAGAAGGCCCTCTGCCTGGTTCCCTGTAACTTGGCTTCCCGCAGCGAGGGAACCGCCAGAAGGCCCTCGGTGCTGGACCTCAGTGTCCGGGCAGAACGATGTTTGCCATGAAACGTGAACTGAACTGGATCCCCTCCTGCGTCATTCCAAAAATTAAGCCTTATTCTAGTGCAGCCATGTCTCCTTCTCTACCTCTCCCCCCAGCCGCAGGCAAACAGCAGAACAACAAGTGATTCCCAGAAGGGCAGTCCGGAAAGCAAGAGCAAGCCCAGAGCACCTGAAGGTCTGCGTGAAATTAGGCCAGTGGCTCCCCACCACTGGTCTGGAAGATTAATGTGCCACGTAAAGGTAGCCCAGGACAACGGAGCATGGTGGAGTGGCAGGCACACTGTTCATGGCCCAGCAACCTTACAGAGAATGAAGAGATTAGGCGCCTTTATGAAGCAGCATGCTGTTTTCACTGCGAAGCGGGTGAAGGTAAAAAGAGAGAGCCAATGCATTGCTAGCTTGCTTGAGTCATCTGCACAGAAGACTTTGGCACATTGTCTCCGTATGTGGGGCCTGGCCCTTTTGCAATGGTTAGAGCATGAGCTCCCTTCCAGGCATCTTGGGGTGATGGTGGTGACTGTTCCTGCACACCCTTTGCTCCACTTTGCTTGTGTAATAATCCAGGGATGGTGGGGACCACTGATGAAGCCCGGAAAACTATCTTGGGAGTGTTTTACCTGCAAGCCCCAGTTAAAGGGCCCCATCGGGGGCTAACAGCGGCCTTTTGATTATTTACACTGCCAAGGGGAAACAGGTGCAAAACGCCAGCACCCTGTCGTCTACAACTTCATTGTCTACAACTTTATTAACATCTATCTACAACTCTACTAGGGACGCGGGTGGCGCTGTGGGTTAAACCACAGAGCCTAGGGCTTGCTGATCAGAAGGTCGCGGTTCGAATCCCCGCGACGGGGTGAGCTCCTGTTGCTCAGTCCCTGCTCCTGCCAACCTAGCAGGAAAGCACGTCAAAGTGCAAGTAGGTAAATAGGTACCGCTCTGGCGGGAAGGTAAACGGCGTTTCCGTGTGCTGCTCTGGTTCGCCAGAAGCGGCTTAGTCATGCTGGCCACATGACCCGGAAGCTGTACGCCGGCTCCCTTGGCCAGTAAAGCGAGATGAGCGCCGCAACCCCAGAGTCGGTCATGACTAGACCTAATGGTCAGGGGTCCCTTTACCTAGGCAAACTAAGACCCAGGGGTCAGATCTGGCCCAATCGCCTTCTAAATCTGGCCTGCAGACAGTCTGGGAATCAGCATGTTTTTACATGAGTAGAATGTGTGCATTTATTTAAAATGCATCTCTGGGTTATTTGTGGGGCATAGGAATTCGTTCATTTTTTTCTTCAAAATATAGTCCGGCACCCCATAAGGTCTGAGGGACAGTGGACCGGCCCCCTGCTGAAAAAGTTTGCTGAGCCCTGGGTTAGAGCATCTATCTCACCTGTGGGGGCCCCAACTCCTGAAAGCGGTCAAGCGCATCTGGCCTAGCCGCTGGCAGATCCTTTCCCCGTTCCGCTCGTCGCAGGCTGCCTCGGAGGGCAGGCCTGTCAGCGTGCCGTGCGACTTCTGCCCCGGCCTGGCTGCTGACTCTGTGCTCGGCAAGGATGAATGTTCAGGCTTGGGGAAGGTCAGGCTGCTGCGAGGGCAATGTCAAAGCAGAGCTGCAGGGAAGAGATTGTGGTTGGGAGCGGCGGCTGGCAGGAGGCCAGCAGATGTATGGGGTGGGGTGGGGAGAACTAGGCACCCCCTGGGAAAGCAGTGGGGGCAACGAGGCCAACCTTTTGGTTTTGGCTACCCATAAAGGGGGTGCGGGGTGATGCTGAACTCCCTCCTCCCGCCCCAGGCTCTGGAGATAGCTCATCCTTCCGGCACTGCTGTAGCCATTTAGTTCTGGGGAGGAAGGTAAGCACTTTGTGGTTGCTAGGCAACCCCGTTTCCTCCTGCTCCAGCAAAACTCCAGCAAAACTGCAAGCTCGCGATGCAGCTTAGTGCCCCAAACGCATCCCAAAGAAGGACATTTGAGCTGCACAGCACATAAGGGGGGGGGGTCACTGCACACGATGCACATTGCAGCCTGCAATGGCCTCTGGAGTTGCCAGGTTATATCCAAGGCTAGTCCTACTCCTAGTCCTATTCCTGCCAACCTAGCAGTTCGAAAGCACGTCAAAGTGCAAGTAGATAAATAGGTAGCAGGAAGGTAAACGGCGTTTCCATGCACTGCTCTGGTTTGCCAGAAGCGGCTTAGTCATGCTGGCCACATGACCCGGAAGCTGTACGCTGGCTCCCTCGGCCAATAAAGCAAGATGAGCGCCGCAACCCCAGAGTCGGCCACGACTGGACTTAATGGTCAGGGGTCCCTTTACCTTTAGTCCTACTCATAGTGAACATAGGTTCATTCATTTCCGCAGTGGTCTAAACCACAGAGCCCCTTGGGCTTGCTGATCAGAAGGTCGGCGGTTCGAATCCCCGCGACTGGGTGAGCTCCTGTTGCTTGGTCCCTGCTCCTGCCAACCTAGCAGTTCGAAAGCACGTCAAAGTGCAAGTAGATAAATAGGTACCACTACAGCGGGAAGGTAAACGGCGTTTCCCTGTGCTGCTCTGGTTTGCCAGAAGCGGCTTAGTCATGTTGGCCACATGACCCAGAAAAACTGCCTGCGGACAAACGCCGGCTCACTCGGACAGTAAAGTGAGATGAGCACCACAACCCCAGAGTCATCTGCAACTGGACCTAATAGTCAGGGGTACCTATACCTTTACAGTGGTACCTCAGGTTACAGACGCTTCAGGTTACAGACGCTTCAGGTTCAGACTCTGCTAACCCAGAAATAGCACCTCCGGTTAAGAACTTTGCTTCAGGATGAGAACAGAAATTGTGTGGCGGCGGCGCAGCGGCAGCAGGAGGCCCCATCAGCTAAAGTGGTACCTCAGGTTAAGAACAGTTTCAGGTTAAGAAGGGACCAGAGTCGTTCTGTCAGGGGTCCTTTACCTTTACCTTTTTACTCCGACTAGGACTTAGTTGGCTACAAACCCACGGAAAAGTACTGACTAAGCTGTATGATGGTGACCTGGTATGTTGTTTAGAGGAGAGGTGGCGATAGCTGAACCAGAGCAGCTGTTCTGCGTGCAGAAGAATCACAGAAATGTAGAGTTGGAAGGGACCACGAGGGTCATCTAGTCCAACCCCTTGCAATGCAGGAATTTCTTTGCCCAGTGTGGGGTTTGAACCCACGATCTGAGATTCTCATGCTCTACTGACTGAGCTATCCCAGGATCTGTTAGATCTCTGGAATCACTAGTTGAAAAGGGATTAGAAATAGCAAATGACAGGGAAGATCTTCCTCTGCCTGAGACCCTGGATATCTGCTTCCGGTCAGAAAATATAATACCAAGTTAGATGGACAACATAATCTAATCTAAGGCAGCTTCTGGTGTTTTTATTATAAACTGAGGTCCACAGGTGTGTGGAACCCCGGCATCTGATTCTGCTGAGTTGATTCCAGGGTGAAGTGTGACAGTCAGCCCAGGTCCTGCTCTCCTCTGAGCTAGAGTCAATCATAGATCTAGGGTTCAATCCTGATTTCTACAGAGGTCGGGGAAGCCAGCCAGTTCCCCTTCCCCTGAGAACTGGTTGGCATGCTCAGATCAAGCCGGATTTAATTTCCTTAGCTGATATGCAGAGGGTTCAGTCCTGATTTTTGCAACTGCCTTAATACCTGACATTGCATATAACATCATGTGTGGACAGGTGGACTTGGCTTGGGGAAAACAGCCTCCTAGGCCAAACAGGAAGGCCTGTTGTGCTGAGTTTGGCTCATGGGCTAGACGTTCCCTACCCCTGGTCTAGATGCTGAGGTTTTGCTTCGGTTTGCAAAAGAGGTCTTGCAAATCTGCTCTTCTTTCATCGTGCAAGCGCCAGTCCCACATACAGTACTTTGAAACGTCAGCCGAGTCTTTACAATGCTTGCCGTCTGCTTTTAGTTAGCCATCTCAATATCTTAGGCACCATTCTTCAGCAAGTGCCTCTTGTAAAACTGACCAGAAAACCAACACATTCATAATGAAAATAATAATGAAGTGGAAACCAGCAATCAAACAGCAGTAACCGGTGCAGTTTCAACATCGAGGGAAATGTCCCATCTGTTTACTGGATGGGCCGGCTCTGTCTTCTTCGCATTCTTCAACTGTAACAGCATCCAGGGCCACCAATGGTTAAAAGCAGATCCGGTTAAGCTGATTTATACCCTATTTGTATAAGGAAAGACCTACCGCAAAGAGAAGGATTGTATTATGAAGTCCGGAGGGCGTTTTTGGATTATTGGAATAAGACATATGTTGATTCTATTGTACAAGTCCACAGGCTTGAATTCTTTGAAAAACAATGCTTTTTTTCCTCCCCCGCTTAGAAACAGGCTCTCAAAAACAAATCTCTCTCTTGGATCATCCCTAATAGACCCTCTTCCAAAAAAGAACCCTACAGTCACAGTTTGTCATGTCCTCTGAGTCACACCACAGCTCCTCCTCCCCCAACCCAGACCCTGGATCTTGTCGCTGCCGATTTGTCCTCGCGTACTTGGGGAGCCTAGGAGGGGTGGGGAGGGGAAAAAAAACTGGGACAAAATAGCTGAAGGGGGCAGGAAGTAAGGGGAGGGGGTGGAAAGCTGTGCCGCCCTTCCCAGACATCTATCGCTCCGCATCATGTCAGCAGCTGGTCGCTTGAAGTCGTTGGGCATTAGAATTTGGCGTTGCGCCAGCACAAGGCTATTACCCGCTGGGTGATCCTTCCACGCGACACCAGGAATGTGCCAGCATTTATGGGAAGGATATCTGGATCCAACCTGCCCTGCCATCTCTGCATCAAACTCAGACAGCCTCTGCGGTAGTCATTTGATAGATGATGATAGATGATAGATAGATAGATAGATAGATAGATAGATAGATAGATAGATATAGTAGGGACGCAGGTGGCACTGTGGGTTAAACCACAGAGCCTAGGACTTGCCGATCAGAAGGTCGGCGGTTCGAATCCCCACAATGGGGTGAGCTCCTGTTGCTCGGTCCCTGCTCCTGCCAACCTAGCAGTTTGAAAGCATGTCAAAGTGCAAGTAGATAAATAGGTACCGCTCTGGTGGGAAGGTAAACGGCGTTTCTGTGTGCTGCATTGGTTCGCCAGAAGCGGCTTAGTCATGCTGGCCACATGACCCGGAAGCTGTACGCCGGCTCCCTCGGCCAATAAAGCGAGATGAGCACCACAACCCCAGAGTTGGCCACAACTGGACCTAATGGTCAGAGGTCCCTTTACCTTTACTTTAGATAGATGATAGATAGACAAATAGATAGATAGATGAATGTGTGCATCCCTATCATATTAGAAAGGAGAAAACCGGTTTTTGTTCGAGATCCTTCAAGAATTCTCTACGCATTTTGAATTTTGTGTTTTTTATCTTGTATTTTTAGGCTGCGAACCGCCCTGAGATTTACAAGTGAAGGGAGGGATTCAAAATAAATAAATGAGAATAACAATAGCAATAACAATCACTTTCTACAGCCTTCCCCGCTTGCAATAGGAGGGTATTCATTCACCAGGGTCTAAATGACACATTAAAATTCAACACTTTTCTTCGAAGCAAATCTAAGCTGCCCGCTGCTGTATTGAAGGGAAAGGAGCCACGTGGCAGCTGATGCTGTTTCCCAACTAATGGGCCACATGCGACAAAACCAGAGCAAATGGCGGTCCAGAGAGGATGCCATTGGCTGAGCAAAAGTGGGTGGGGCCAGAGCTGCAAGGGGGTGGGGCAAACCCCTTTTCTCTTGCTCTTGCTGCCACTCTACCCTCACTGTGCCCCCTCCCCCCGTCACCATCTTTCCCTCCCTCCTTGTCCACTGCCAGCTGCTGGTGCCACTCCTGCGTGATGTCATCACCTCTGAAGATAATGACATTCCTGAAAATAATGACATCGCACAATATGGCTTTCTTTAGAAGCCACACAGAAAATATGGGTTAGCTACAGCCGCACGTCCCCTACCACGTTATTAGGCCAAGACAAGTTCGGCTGGGCAAAATATTTTCTGCCAAGTAAGGGCCTGCAAAATTCTTTGCTCAGCTTCTCTTTATTTTGACGGGGCTTTTGCAGGAGAACTTCCTGAAAGAATGTGCTAAAGTTTAAAGGTTTTTTTTAAAAATAATAATAATAATAATAAAAATTCTGCTAGTCAACCACTTCCCTTCCAGGACTTAATAGAAGGGAAGCCTCCAACATTTCTCCAATGAAAATAGGGATGTCCGATTCCATTAGTAGTAGTAGTAGTAGTAGTAGTAGTAGTAACTCATTTCATCCACAACACAGCAACAACATTTGCTGAGAATTGCAAGTGAGAAGACCGCTGTTGTAGTGCTCAGGAACAGAACTGACTTTCTCATACCCTCCAACTTTCCTTTGGTGAAAAAAGGGACATCCCACCATACCCTCCAATATTTCTCCAATGAAAATAGGGACATCCTAGGAAAAGCAGGACATTCCGGGATCAAATCAGAAGCTGGGATGGCTTCTGTATACCTGAAGGAGCGTCTCCACCCCCATCATTCAGCCCGGACACTGAGATCCAGCGCCGAGGGCCTACTGGCAGTCCCCTCATTGCGAGAAGTGAGGTTACAGGGAACCAGACAGAGGGCCTTCTCGGTAGTGGCGCCCACCCTGTAGAACGCCCTCCCATCAGATGTCAAGGAAATAAGCAGCTATCCTATTTGTAAAAGACATCTGAAGGCAGCCCTGTTTAGGGAAGTTTTAAATATTTAATGCTGTGTTGCTTTTAACACTCAATTGGGAGCCGCCCAGAGTGGCTGGGGAAACTCAGCCAGATGGGTGGAGTATAAATAATAAACCATTATTATTATTATTATTATTATTATTATTATTATTATTTGAATACAGCACTGTCCCTGGAAAATGGGGACACTTGGAGGGTCTGCCAGCCTGGTTTTGATTCCCTCTGCCCTGAATTCAGCAAAGAACATTGGTATAAGTAAATTTATTATTATTATTATTATTATTATTATTATTATTATTATTATTTGAATGCAGGACTGTCCCTGGAAAATGGGGACACTTGGAGGGTCTGCCAGCCTGGTTTTCATTCACTCCACCCTGAATTCAGCAAAGAACATTGGTATAAGTAAATTTATTATTATTATTATTATTATTATTATTATTATTATTATTATTATAATGCAGGACTGTCCCTGGAAAATGAGGGCACTTGGAGGGTCTGCCAGCCTGGTTTTGATTCACTCCGCCCTGAATTCAGCAAAGAACATGGGTGCCTCACCTTCTAAGAACGACTGAGCCTCTGAAGTTGCAGTCCTATGCGTGTCTGCGCAGAAGAAAGGGAATGACTAGCTAGGAGTGTAGGCCTGCAGCCTCCGTCTTCTTAGCAGTGCCTCCTCCGAGCCGTAGCAGGAAATAGCACAGGGCCAACACACATACAATGCATGCGGATTTGAAATGTCTCCAAATGGTTAAAGCCAGCATGGGTGGACTCATCTGGGATTTAAGGAAGGAGGCAGCCTAGCCTTGCCTGACCCGGGAGCCAGCAGCTGTCTGCAGTGTCTGAGCCCGGGCCGTTCCCATTGTCTGCCATATCCATTGCCATCGATAAGGAATGACAGGTGCCCAGAGGGAGACGACTCTCGAGAATGAATGAAGAAGCAGGCAGCCTCCGTCTCAGGCTCTCTGGGGAGGAGCAATGTCATTGGGACACTGGTGCATTTACGAAGTGGTATTTCGCACTCGGCGTCGCCTCGGCTCTTCCTCCCCCAATCCCCGGCCCGACCACCATCCGCAGTGGAATGTGGGCCTAGCAAACACAGCGGGAGAGTCAGGGGGTCTCTGCATGTCAACATGGAAAGCTGGTATAGCATGCAGGAGCTAGGAGCATGGGCCAAAATGTACTGTACACATTCCCATTTACAGTCATACCTCATGTTACGTTTGCTTCATGATACGTTTTTTCGGGTTGCGTCCAGTGGCGACCCGGAAGTACCGGAAAGGGTTACTTCTGGGTTTCGCTGCTCACGCATGCGCAGATGCGCAAAAATGACATCACGCGCATGCGCAGAAGCGGCAAATTGCTACCCGATCGTGCGCAGACGCGGGTTGCATTCTTTTCATGTTGCGAACGGGCCTCCGGAACGGATTCCGTTCACAACCAGAGCTACCACTGTATTCTGCATCCAGTGTGCTCCTGCTGCTGGCTTGGGAAGCTGTGTGCACACAA